CGCTAAATTACTACTCAATTGCTCGTAACCTCGCTCTATTACAATACGTTTGTCATCCATCTTTAATATCTTCGTACTCCGGATTATTCAACTCAGTGTTCGTTGAATTCCATTCACTACGGGATTTTCACAATTCATGAAGTGCTTCGAATACTGCGCGTTTAATTTATTTTGATAAGGTACGAACACCCCCGCAACCTTCAACGCTTCGAGATTCCGCATTGGTAAAAACTAGGCAACGTCTGTTTACCACGAGAACAAACAGCAAAGAGCTACCGTCGAGAACAAAAAAAAATGCTCTGTTAAACTCTCAGAAGCAATCATGAAGCATATCTCTCCCGCGTAACTGTTATTTAAGAATCCAGGCAGGCAAGCAGTTTTAGGATTTGAAATAAAATAAAACAAACTTATTGTTACCTAGACACGTTTCCTAATCGATTGAGCTAACATAACCTATACCTCATCTAGCTCGAAAATCCTGGCCACTTCCTTAACTGCTCATCAAATTCCACATTTCAGGTATCCTGGTTACCCCCGAGTTCTATCTGAACGCTTGCATAACAACTGATCTAAATGTTCTCAATTTAATCAATTCTTTATGAACTTCTTCTTCATCATCGATTTCCTCTAATGCTTCATCTTTCTCAGATAAGGAAGGAAAACCGGAAATTTAAGAATTTAATTCGAGTCTATCAATTTGCCTTTCGCTACTCGAGTGTGAACTTCTTTAACAATTAAATTAAATTTTGCAGGGAACGTGTTTAACGGTATCAAATTTGTCCCTTTGTTATTACAACACTTCTCTTTAACTTCACTTCTTGTTTGCTTATCTGCTACAAATCTTATAATCATTATTTTACACACTTCTACTTGTCCAAAATCAATTGACAGAATAAATAATTTTGAAAATTTAATAAATTTTATATATGAAATTAAACAATTTAAAAAAAATTAATTTGTCTGCTACATACATCTTATAATCGATATTTAACACACTTCTACCTGTCCAATCGATCTGAAATTTTGCACGCTTTTGTAAAGTCAGGGACAATGCATGTATCAATTGACAGAATAAATAATTTTGAAAAATTTAAATTTTTTTAAATGTTAAAAATAAAATTTGAAATTATTTTTTTTAATATTTGATTATAAAATTAGAAATTCATTGTACATGTGTAAAATCGGAGACACTGGATTCTTTAGAAGTGTTGTCTTTGAAAAGAGTAATTTTTAAACGCATATTATTCAATCCTCATTTGTTTATTTTAATTCAATAAGTTTGTGGTTGTTTTATTATCCTAAAAAACATTTAATAATTTCATATTTCATATTTCAAAAATTTATTTGCCTTTGTGTAAAGGCAAATAAATGACACTATGGTACATCCATAGTGTCAGTCATAAGTATCCTACAGAAAACGTAGGTTGCCACTCACTCAATTAAATTTCATTTCGTTAGTGTCAATTTACGTATTTTTAATTTCTTATGTTCATTTTCGATACCGTTTTTATAACATTGTGGTACCTCATTATTATTGCACAGTCGTTCTTCCATAGTATACTGTTACATATTCCGTATTATAATAGTAACGGCGGTGTCAGCTACGTTCATTAGGTCGAATGTAATACGTCGCCGATTCATGACGCAGCAGAAACTTCCCAGCTTGTTGGGATTTGAACACGCAACTCACTGTATCAATTATGCTGAACTTAACCGCCAGGCCGCCTGGTCTATTTTGACCAGAACTCTCACAGGTAACATAACATAACATTGTGATGTCGACGCTGAAGAGTAGGCCTATTGTGACCTGTCGCCCATTCTTGTACTTTTCGTGACTAGTCCACAGGAGATCTTAAAACAGGTCCTAATTCGACCGGATCTTTGTTAAACTGACGATAGTTTGAAATAGATACTAGACCTCAGCAGGGTTCGATTTGGTGCTAGGCATTTCAAGTCTGAACATATATTTTTCCATAGCTCTATCCAGTCTGTTCTTGAACGCGTTTATACTCGGAGCGTCAACGATGCAATCGAGGAGGCTGCTCCACATGTCGGTGGTTCGAAGCGAGAAGAAATGTTGTCGCGTGGATTAAATTAAATTGTTCAGTCAAATTGGCCTAACCATGTTTTATGTCAAGGTTTCCCACTTACATTGAATCTTCTGTTGCAAATTGTCGTCGTACGACTATATATATCAGCTCGAGTCAGTATGTTCTCATCAGGCCATTATCAATTCAACAATTTGTGAAGCAATATGTACCATACAGATAAGCAATCGTAACATGTGCATGTTATCGTTCCAAGCGATCGTATCCATACAGATAAGTGACCTCATAAGGAACCAGTTTGTTAATAAGGCCCCATGGCATGCAGAATAAATAATATCAAATAGCACTAAGGTGAGTACTAATTTTGTACGCGGAAGAAGTTAATTGGTGCATGATGTACAAACTTAGTATAGGTTGGCAGAATTTTTTCTTTCAAGCAGGTTTCATTGAAGACCAGAGAATTTGTTTTATTCGCAATTTTCTTATTAGTTTTTTCAATATATCGAACAATATTTTTAGTTTGTATAAGAAAATTGCGAATAAAACAAATTCTCTGGTCTTCAATGAAACCTGCTTGAAAGATGTACAAACTGTGGAGGATCTCATAAGGACCCGGTTTGTGTTAGGGCCCCAAGGCGTGCAGAACAAGTAAGACCTAATAACTCTTAAGGTGTCTACTAATTTTGTGCGCGGGAGAAGTGATTTGGTGTACAGTCCCTCTCAGAGTGATATGTCCTTTATCATGAATAACTTTAAGCACTTTTATCATTAGTCGGCTTAAATCACAAGTTAACGTAGAATGTGTTTCCATCGTGCTTTGTGTTTAGTAAAATAAAGCGTTTTATGACAAATAGATATCCGAACTCTGTTACTGATGTTGACGGTAGGAAGACTATTTACTGTACTTTCCCTTATTTTAGGACCTCATCTAAAACAATGTCCAGAGAATCGAAAATCTTATTTCAGAATTTTTTTCGAAAGTTAACTTACATATTTTACTTGTAAATGATTTTTAAAATTGTTCCTTCTTCAAAAATAAGGATGTTATTCCTGCCCCGATGCGTTCTAATATGGGTTTCGAATTTAGATGTGCGTGCTGCGCATCAGCATACGTCAGAATTACATTACTTAACTTCTACATCCTGGTTTCTGAACACCCGGCATGAGTTTTTGTTCGGGCCCGCCACTTCCAGGCCTTCTGCTGTGCGCCTTCACGCTGACAAGTGCGATGCGACGGTGTCTGAGAGTGATTTCAAGATCCTCGATCCCTCCGCTGACGGTTCGGATTCAAGAATTTTTAAATCGCTGCATATATTTAAACGGAAACCATATCTTAATAAAGCGTATTTGTTTTTTCTTTTTGGCATGTAAATTCCTGAGTTACTAGCAGCTATAATCAAAGTGGTGCCATGTATAGAATCATGTGATTTAAAATTCTGAATATATATATTTTCTATGATGTTAACGATTTTTAAATTAGTAATAGCTCAACTCGCCTACAGCTCGGGCAATAATGATATTGACAGTAGCAATAGACGAAGACGTTAGTTTAATAGATAAAGAAAGTTATGAATTAAATAAAGACAGTAGAATTAGATTAAGGCAGTTGGAATGATAAAGGTGATAAATAATTTAGCTGTGATCAATCTCTTGTCATGGTGACGTGGCTTGGCAGCCTTGATCTTTGTATCGAAGGATTCCTGAGTTTCTTTTTTGTTAATCTCGTAGGTAAGGTTAACTTAGAAATGCAGTCACGGGACTTAAATCTCAACAACTTTCACAAGACCAAAAACATTTCTCAGAGATCTGGAAGTAAATAACGTACAAAAATTGCTCGCTTTTGTTTGTTTACACATTTCACTCATATTAATATTTCATTAAACACTTGACCGGATTATCGGGTTTCATAAATAGTGTTGTTTCTAAACATGCACTAACTCAAAATTAAATATATTTGCAAGTAATCCTAACTGAAATTGCCATAATTTAAAGTTATAAATCAATCATTCATTGTCAATCATTGTAATATTTAATAGATATATTATTCGCTTAAGAAGCAGGCGGGGTTTAAACTACGATTTACATTCCTTTAAATTCAACTTAAGAGTTTCTTTATAATGCTTCTCTTCGTATTGAAAGTTCTGTAATGAAAGAATTGTTCAGTCATTCTTCTCATTGTAATCTATTCTATTATTTAATTCATTTCTAAGGCATATGCATCACTTCATTTAACCAACGTGCATGTCGCTTGGCTTTATGAATACCGATAACTATAACTTATGTGTTTCTCGGCAAATTTTCACTTAAATTTCAATCTGCGTCAATAAACTTGTCTTTGGTTACACTGAGCGTTAAACTAAATGTTGCAAAAATTACCTCTCTCCGTTACGCTGCGATACACGATCAAATCAAGAGGTATTTTTGGTTCTTCTTCGTTTACAATCAAACTCACTGTATTTGTATTTCTTTAATGCACTTCTTGAATGAAAATACTCGGCAATAAATATTTTTATTGCGTTAAATAAGCTTCACTTTTGCAATTCTTAATAATGATTCCGTTCATATTAACTATCGTACAAATACTGTGTTAATTTTAGTCACACTTCCTTGGCTGGTAACGCAATCAATGTATGCCTTCGATACGCTCCACGTACTGGAAAAGTAAATAAGCTCAGTTTTAGAATGCATAAAAAAATGGGTCTTTTTATTAGGGTCTGTTTAAATAAAATGAGATGCAATTCGTGTGTGTCATGCTTTCGCTCCTTTTTAAATTAACTAATATCAGATTCAGACAGTAGTCTTCGATTCTCATTATTTTAAACAATATTTAGATTTATAATTTAGCTACCTCTTCTAATTACGTATTACTCATTTTCGCATGTGCATTCGTGCATCAAGCGGTTTAGTTGAAAATGTATTTACCCCATTAGTTGATTTTATTCATTTTCATTGGTGATCTTACGCTTATTTGAGAAACGGAATTTTAGTAATTTTTTAGCTACACTTTAGATTCATTAGAAAATGTCCCTTTTCACTCGCGTGTGGTTGTAGTTTGACACAGCTTATCCATTCGAGCTGATAGAAATTTAGACATATCCGATTCTGATGAACGTTCTGTGACTGTCCAACTAATGTGAGGAGCAAATTATATGTTCAATGACACTTTTATTGATAATCTAAGAGCTTGAGGCTAGAGTGACCTTGATAATTTGGGTTGCTTGTGTGTTTGAGAACTTTTGTGTTCCGGTAAGCACGAGTGTTTCACTGTGTCTGAGTGTTCCAGTCAGTTTTTGAAACTACATCAGCTTTTCCTTATAGTTTGTTAACAATAAGTTTGTCATAGCGGTTAATACGTTCATTTGAGTTACATCGTATATTCAAGTTAGATTAAACGTTCTAGTTAGTTCTCTGTTACGTTTCGTTGCAAGGTGGCATAAGTCCTGTTATCATTTCCAAAAACAATGTTGTCAGAGAGGGTTGCGATGACGTCACAGGACCTCCTCCTGCTGAACTCACTCCTCGTCTGCCAGCAGCGCAGATGTCGCGCGTTCGATCGCCTGCCAAGCAAACACCATGTCTTCAGGCTCCGTGAAGCGGGAGCCAACCGCCACCCTGCATCAAATTATGACCAGAGTCTTTACATTTGTATTCCATCGTAGGCTGCTATGATCATACGCGCAACGCGAAAAACAATATGCTGACTATTCGCAAATTATAATTTCTTTACCCGTGTTTTCAGAAATTAGTTGTGAATAATATTATGCCAATTTAAGGTATAAAAGAATATTTCAGAACCATTCATGCACATTGCATTAGGCCTGACCTGAGGAAGTGGACGCCCCGCACCTCGGAAGCGACCAGGGTGGATGTCGCCGTCTTTGTTGATGCGCTGCACCAGGCGCTTGTGGAGCGCGTTCATGTCGCGCGCCGCCTTTAGAAAACAATATTTCCGAGTTACTTATTAGGCTTTTATTTTGTTTAATGTTCGTTGAGGTCACTGCTTTGAATAAAGCAAAATGACGCAATTCTTCACATTCAGTCAAATTGCTGTTTCAAAGTAAGCAATAAATAGTTATAAATAAGTTATCAAATTTTATTGAATAAGGCCGCATTTTGCGACTGTACAAATTTGTTTTGAAAATGGTCGAATTTTTGACATCAAACAGGTTTCCTGGGACTAAGGATATAAGCTTAGTTCTCCATTTCTTCCTATTTTTTTTCCTCTAATCAACTACCGCAGGTATGGTGGTTAAAATTTCCTCCTCAGGAAAAAATGTTTTGAACAAGCGTACTTGCAATTAAACCCTGCGTTCCTTAAAACAATGACTCGCATTAACTGCAGTATTTTGGAAAAATGCCTGACACTTGAGAATCAACGCCCCAGTTGATTTATTGGGTCTGTTTCACTGCCATTAGGTAACCAGAACTTCAATCTAGATTAATTCATTTTCACCGGAAAGAAGGCATCTAGCGCAATAAAATAGCTACTCACTGTTACGTTTCTTCTAAATAATTCACTAATAAAAAATTGCCTTTATATGTGTACTTACAATGATTACGAAAATTTTTTAATTATAGTTTTAATGCGTATACTTGCTTTAAGCACGGTTCTTTGATTACTGGTGAGGGGTACAGCAGTATTACAGAAAAACATCATAGAACCTAAATTCTAGCAGAATAAAGGCTAAATTCAAATATTTTAATAAAATATCTACTTTTCATCGATGAATTTTAGGTTCAGTACTATTTTGTACCCCATTGATAGTCTGCAGGCAGCTTGGTATTATTTGTAAATTGAGGGCTCGAATTTAGGGCTTGAATTTTCCTACCTTAACCCTGAAGCAGACGAGTCCCAGCACCGCGGGGCAGACGGTCTCAAAGACGGGGCAGACGGGGCAGACCGTTTGGCAGACGGTCTGTTTAATTACATTAACTCTCAAAGCCAGTTTTCCTACCTTGACCCTGAAGCAGACAAGTCCCAGCACCGCTGGGCAGACGGTCTCAAAGACGGGGCAGACGGTCTGTTTGGCAGACGGGGCAGACCGTTTGGCAGACGGGGCAGACGGTCTGTTTAATTACATTAACTCTCAAAGCCAGGTTTCCTACCTTAACCCTGAAGCAGACGAGCCCCAGCACCGTGGTCTGACCTTAACCCTGAAGCAGACGAGTCCCAGCACCGCGGGACAGACGGTCTCAAAGCGAGAGTCCTGAAGCACCAGCGCCTCGAACACCGCTGCCAGCGCCACCTGATGCGTTGATGCAATTCCTTTTGTTACTTCATATCAACATTTGATGAATTACTTAGATGAATTACGTAAGAACCACATGAACAAATTGTTAGTTGTTGTCGGAAGAAAAATATCTATCCATTTCAAAGCACGTAGGAATCTATTAGTGTATTAGTCACTTTCCATTTTACTGCGTGGTATATCCATGTGTGCAGGAAAAAACCACAACCAAATTGACAATCAAATTAAGATCAACCTCATTATATTATTAACGAAGTATATTAAGGAGATATAGATCTATCTATTTTTAATGGCATAAATATTCCATTAGTGAATTAATTGTTTTCATTGCACTACGCCGAATATGCGTATACTTCAGTTAGTAAGTATGACGCGTACAACGCCGTTTTCAGTTTCTGCAACAAAGAACCATGGTTCAAGTTTTGTATTGAAATGAATAATGTCCATATTAGAATAAAATAATGCCCTTAAGTTCAATAGTGTGGACTCTTTTAGCATTAACAATTTATGAAGGAATTAGATTCCTTTCTACTCTTATCCAATTTTTTATTAATATAAAATTCTTTTTAAAAAGTCTTAGATAATACAGGAAAATATGCATTTATTTAAAAATGTCTATATTATCTGTATGACAATAACATGGGGAGTTTTCTGAATTTAACTCTACAGACATATATTTTTTTCATCAGAGTACAGAGATTACCAAAGGGAGTTCCCTCTTGACCAAAGACCTCTTTACGGATGTGTCTCTGTAGTCCGTCTCTGCCGTACATGCGCATCACGAACCACAGCTTCAGCGCCCTGAAGCGCCTCGACAGCGGCAGCTGCCAGTGCTGTGGTCAGGGCACGATCATCAGTGGCTTGGATTTTAAACTCAAAAATACAATCAAATGAAATGGCACGTATCGATGTTATAGAATTTCCGCGTCACATTTCCTGCACAGTGTAGGCTGCAAATGCATGTTATTCAACTTACCTGCACTGTGTACATACAGTAGAAACACTACTAGCACGGGGTGAACTTTACTGCTACAGATACCAGTTCGCTTTATACTGTTTGGACTTTTGAACGGTGAGCACATCATCATGACAATCGCCAGCTGGGCTGACACTCACCAGCTGGGCTGACTGACACTCAACAGGTGAGTTGGCAATCACCAGCTGGGCTGGCAATCACCAGCTGGGCTGACACTCACCAGCTGGGCTGACACTCACCAGCTTGACTGAAACTCACCCTGTAATTAGGGGCGTTAGGATCAGCTCGGTGCTGGCGGCGTAGGTATAGATCGGGTCAACGCGGAACGCATCTACGATCTCTTCTGATTTACGAACCCTGGAACAAGTAAAACATTGTTGCCTAAATTGAACGCGTATTTGAAAGTACGAATATTAGTTATATTATGTACTTCGTAATAACAATGAATAGTTACTATGCTAATTGATATAAAAACTATATGCAAAATAATAGCGATAATTAAAATTCAGATTTTATGGACCGTCTGAATTGCATCCAATAAGTTCACAAGGAAGCCTGTAGGCCGATTTATGAGTTTCCAAAGTTTCCTTCCTCCGTAAAATTTTCCATTCAAACATTGAAGCTTTCGCACCACTTGACAGAGAAATAAATACAATAATAATTCAAAAACTTGCAATCAAATCTGTTGCATTAACGCAAATTAATTTTTCGGACACCTACATGTCCGAGAGTAGGTCGCGGAAACAAGTCCTAATGTGTTTACCAACAGACCTAGTTAGCTATTGAGTCCACGAGTCAACATCTGATAGACACGTGATAGATCACGCGATCAAGACCTGTCTCTTATACACATCTAGATGTGTATAAGAGACAGGTCTTATATGTCTCGGCTGTCTATTGGTTACACCGTAGACATCGGATGATTACTTTATGTTGTTGATCGGGCCTCTGATTATGAAAAATTGTATCGTTCGCGCACAAAATTAATATTTTAATAATAACTGTTACATAAATTTGAATCCGTTTGCAAAGTAAGAACCCTAAATTAGAACATAATATGTGACATTTCATGATTATCACCCCCGATTCCTATTACTGCGGCTCATCAGATTATTCTAATCAAATATCAATTAGTAATACGAATTAGAGAAAAGTAAATTATTCAGAGACACTTTATTTGGCAATTTAAGTGTAGAAATAAATGATCGTTTGAAGTAAAAAATAACCTTAACACATAACGAGCACATATAATATATGATAAAAATTATTTGCAAAAAACCTTCATTTTTGTTTATAGCTGCACTGCGCCCAAATGCAAGTGATGGTTTAACCTATGAAGTGAAAGAAGACGAGTTTTATTGATTAAATTTTATGTGTATGATTATAAATATCAGCATGGCAAAGAAGTAATTTTCATGGGACCGAACCAAAGACCTGTAAAGTAAGTCGTTTCTGTTGTAGTGCAGCCAGTAACTTGGCGATGAGATGACGCTATCAACTCGTCGCGTTGGGCTGATCGAACAGTGCAGATAATGTCTCTTATACACATCTAGA